ATCCACCCTCTATGAGGATGTACCCCGTGTATCAAGCACTTCTCGCTCCTTTCTCCCCCTCTGAACACTTCTACTTCAGGAAAGCTCCCGCTGGCAAGCAGTCGATCATAAACAATCTTCTGTTGCAATCTTCCTTGACCTTACGTTCGCTAATACTGCTGGCGCAGTCGTAATACAAATGAAGCGAATGTCGACAGCCAGCGAACGAAACGTGGCACGATGAACGAGGACCGAGCGGGAACAGAACGTAAGGTTGCCAAAGGTTTTTGACCCGCGCGTGTGTGTCCATCCCCGTTCTCCTTTGGCTGGAACACAAGAGGCGTCGCGATGCGTAACGGCGCCGCATCACGTGGCAACGCGCGCGTACGCCACGGAAAATTGAATTCGACGCGAAACGACGCGTCCCGAGGCTTCGCCATCGCTCGAACCCGTGGCGAATCAACCCTGTAACGTCGCCCCTATCGACGTCCACCGGGTTATATAATCGTTTCATTATGGACAGACAGCTCTTCAGCCGCGCCATCGTCGGGGTTTCGTTCGTCGTTGATTTTCATTTTTTGAGAGGTTTCGATGCACCGAACACTTTCGACCTGGGTCGATTCCATTTGATCGACGGGATTGAAAAAATTGTCGACAGCCGACCGAATGTCGATGCTTTGTGAACAGTTGGAGCGATTAATCCATTCGCTGCTGGCGCAGATTACGTGGTTTTCGTTCGTGTCGACAAGTTTTTTGTTTATCTGAATGTTTGTGTATTTTTGTATAGGTGACTGTTTACGTGTGTAGAATTAAACCCTGACTTTTATATAGTTTTTCTTTTATACAGTGTTCATGGGTGCCTTCTTAACACTTTATCTACCGGTATATTTAGAAACAGTCTTTAATTAAAAAAAGAATTGTCTGCAGTGACGTATGCCAATCTAGGCTGACAATAATTCCTCTATATTGTTACCAGGTATATTGAAAGCCAAGTCTGTTTCTAAAAGCTAAACATTGTAAGTAGACAACCCTCGACATAGTAAATAAATTCGAATAGCTAAATACTGCAATTAAAAAGTCTATAAATAGGCTCCTGGTAAGCTACATGAAACAATCGTATACAATTCATATATTATGTGTACATAAAAACTGTATACAAAAATTTGAAAACGGTAATTTGATCTGTCGTGGTAGGTTTAGTTTTAAAGATTGAAAAAATGTTTTGGATTATTTTCAAGACGTTGAGTCTGCAGTGGTTCGATCTTCGAAAATCAAGATACCAAACTTTCCTTGTGCATCGAGTCGATTGTAAAATCTATTTCTAAAGTATATAGCTGAAATTAATAAATTTATCCATGTCTATATTTTTTGTGCTGTACACACTGCGGAAAGGTACCCAAATGATGCAGATTTCTGACGCATTGGATTTCCTGTGGAAGCTGAAGAGTCGCACGAGCTATGCAGGGGCTATTTTCCTTGCAGGTACGAGTGATCCCCGATGCATCGAGTAGGTGGCTGTGGCTAATTAACCCTTCAGCGAAGAGGAATTTAAATGCCACGGCTCTGCTGGGAATTTCAAGGCAAGCGAATAAGACGGGGAATCGATTTCTTCGAGGCGCGTGACGTATCATCTAAGAGATGTTTGTTTTATCTGGAACGCGGAGAGGCTGGATTACGCTTGTTCCATTCGTTTTAGAGGGATGGCGCTGAAGGGTAACGCGTTCAGTCCCAAGAAGATTCTACTGAAACTCTGGATATTGGTTCTGGAGTTTTCTTTAAATTTGCTTGAGGTTGATCGCGGGGAGATAAATAAATGTAAAAAATAAATGTACAAACAAAGTACCAACGTGAAGCTTAGGTCCTCCCCTCTGTGACTTACAAAAAGAAGAGAATAATTTTACGCAATATTATTATCTGTTTCCAAAAATTTGGGAGTACACTTCACAATCTGACCTGCTTTTATATCTTCGTTGAAAAATCTTTCTCCAGTCACCTACAATAATAAGATGTTTTCACTACTACATCCGATGTAACGTTCGAACATAGTAACTCGAGGCATTAATAGAATATTCAGCAGACGAAATTAGCGATGCTTACGTATTCTGGCATAATTAAAGCGCACGTGGTAATAATGGACTGCCTACGTGTTTTCTGGTGTTGCGGATCTCTCTTCGTAAACACCATTTTTCAACTTCCGTTACAGGAAAATGCGCAGCCATCTATGGTCCGTTGCACATGCTGGCCATATCACGGTTCCATAAATTAAAATCACGTTGATCTCTTCTTACATTGTTGGACGCAGCGTAATCACATCGAATCTTGTTCGAATAATGGCTACGGTTTGTTCTAGCAGCGAAGACCTACTATGTAAGTCTATTGTGCTAACCGAGTTTGTCCTTTCATTGCACATTCATTGCAATTCTCGATACGTCTCGTCGTAGCGACCTGTATTCGATGTAAACATACGCGAAAGTAGTCGAGTATGAAAATAAAATTAGTTTAAAATAAGAAGACTGTAATTATATGAATATAAAAAAAATATGACTGTAATATAATGTAAAGAATTTTCGAAAGTAATTTCAAATTGTACGTATCTGTACAGAACAGGAGGATTTTGGAATCATAATGAAAAAATGTTCAATACGAGCGAGCTTAATTAAAAATGGATAAGCTCGAACGCGTAATACGCGTCGATTCGAAAGAGATCTCTAAAATTTCAATCAATTCTCGCGCTGTCGTGTGCAATATACTTTCGTTCTGTTCCATTTTCGATGTAATCCAACGCAAGCCACCGAGGGAAATAGAATAATGAATTCTCAGCGTCATTGAAAAATTATGGCGCAGCCAGATACGATTCGAACAAGATAACCGTCCAAGTTATTTACATTTTGAAAACTCGTTTCGTGTATCTCACGTCACGTAACGATGTTCAGATTCAGGGCACCGTTTCAAAATGGAGGTTTTGGTTTGCGAGTTTAATTTCCCTGAGCACTTTCGCGCGTTATGTCGTTTACAATTCTAACAATATTCTTTATTACTAATAAAGATAATATGTAATTATTATCGAAAGTAATCATTGCCAAGAACAGTGAGTTTTGTTGATTACTTCATTAATAGCGCGTACTTAGGAACTAATACTTCGTATTTTTTATTATTATCCAAAGCAGCGGTGATAATTAGGTCGTTTACGTTACAATTAGTCTCAATCCTAATTCCAAACGCAAAAAGTAACATTCGCGCAACGGAACGTTCCTTCCCAAAGGCGACCTTCTCCGGAGAACACGTTGCGTGTCTGGCGTGCATTAATTACGTTAATTGGGGGCGAGATTCACCGTGAGCCTCGCGGCTCGGAAGTCATAATTTATTAACGCAAATGGATTAGCGACGGCGGAAAAGCGCATCGAGCCGCCAGAAACACGGTGGTCGGTAGCTCGCACCCTCGGAACGATCGTTTTCACCCCCTCTGGCACAGTGGTGCGCAAAGTTCAACCCTTGGGCCAATTAGGTCCATCGGTAACATTCACCTATCCCATAAAATACATCTAAAAACCATGATAATTTCTCTCTAGACTCTCCAGAACAATTTTACCTTTCCATCCTCGATTCAACGCAAATTTTATTTTAGTATTATTTCTGCATTAGCAATTTCAGACTACGATAACAATCATATTTATACAAATTACCAGAACACAGTGGGTGTAACGAGTAGTTTCATAATTAAATTGAGATACGGATCGAGTTTCCGTGTTTTATTTGATAGGGAGATCGAGCACCACTGGCTTAGCTTCCTCGTCTATCGACGAGTCTAGCGCGCCATTGTTCGACCCTCTGGATTCCCTCGTAACCGCGGGATATTTTTCCAGATCCAGCGGGGTGGGCCAGAATTCCGGGCTAATTCGAGTAGGAAGGAACATCTGTCGATTCGTTCTCCCGCGCGATCGTAAACATTAAAGCCCGGATACCGCAACAATAGATATATTTACACGAACGTGCGAGCACACCCCTGTCCGAGATATTACGTTGCGACGGCGGCGGGGGCGGTCTGAGTGATAAATTGCGTTTCGACATTAACTTCCGTGTCGATGGAACACCATCCCCCCGCCCCTCTGGCTGGTTATTGTTACGAGTGTTATCGCTTTTAACCGTTCAACGAAGGGCGACGTTCGCGCTCGAGTTGTTTTATTTCGCGGCATTTGTTACCCTTGAATTGTTAAGCTAGACGGGCGTGTCGTTGTGTGTTTAGGACGAGTGATGTTATTATACGAGGTGTTTATGTTGCATGGGGTACGAGAAGTCGAGTTTCGTGTACTCTTCTAGAGTGCGTTCGGTTTGTACGACATTTTTATTGGTCACGGGAGCAGGGGTGCATGGAACTCTGAAGTAGAACGTATAAATATATCTTAAGGGTCGTAAGGGATCGCGAAAGTGTTGGATTATTCGACACCTGTGCTGGAGAATAAAATAGGATCAGTTTGTATAACGAAGCGATAATACATCGCATCGCACCTCAGTGCGTTGAAAACGTTGAATTTCTATCATTCTGAACCTAAAAAGCGAAGCTCTGCGATTCACAATTTTTAAGTCGCAGCTTGTTCGAAAACGAGGCATTAAATTTAAGGACATTTTCGCTTGAAATGTTTACTCGAAAATGTCTCAGTAACGTGGAATTACCGATGATTTCCTCACTTCCGTATGAGATAATTACAGGAACAATTATCTCCTTCTAGTTACTTCGTAGACCAAGTATTCTGTTTGAAAACTTCTGGTATTATGTAAGTTAAATCTTCAGCGAAGATCTGCGATATTAAATTTAGATACAGATTATTGTAATTACTTGGACGTTCACGTTTATTCGAATGAATAAATCGAAAGTTAAATAACAACGTGAAAATAACGTGCTGAAATATTTTTATTCTACGATGAAGCGTAGAATGACTCCGAATACCTTACTTTTGTCGTTAAGAGCACAATGGAGAGTCGGAGCAGATTTTAAGAGGTTTTCTTTGCGTTTTTTGTTGCAGCTTTGGAAAGCGGACGGGTGGCAGTGCCAGGAGACCCAACGAATGCTTCGTTCTCGAGCCCTCCGAGATGATCGCCGTAAGTAGTAACATTACTTCACTTTGCGAAGTTCTCGAAGCCTACTTCGCGACCCCGTTGTACTTCGGAACGAGGCCAAATTCGCTTGCGAACTATCCAACGGTTACCAAACCGCTGACAGTCCCCGCTTAAGGAAGGGCGTCGAGACCAAAATTAGCTACCAGTAGTTAAAATTTTAAAACTTTGCACTTTCATATAATTTTCGACGCTGAACTTTGCATTTTTGGAAAAAAAATGCTTGAAAAAGAAGTCGGATCGAAAAATCCATACGCTTGTTTGTTCGCTATATTTTAAGGAGTACTTTAAACAAGAAATCATACCGGTAGCTACATTTTTAAAAACGTTATATGTACATAAATATATACACGCGTGATCTATATTAGTTTCAGGGAAGATCCAGCAATGTAGTTTAATCAGAAAACGTACCGAAAGATTTTCTAAATAGAACTGGAGAACATTTTATTTCCCAATAAAAAAAAAACATGCACCTGTTAGCATAATCATGGTGAATATATATTAACACTTTATTACTAATTGACTTCTTTTTTGCGACAATCAATATGTTCTCTATTACTGAGGTAGCATTGTATATTCCCATAATTATATAAATTATGAAATATAAATCTGTAAACAATTTTAATAGATGATATAAATATTATATAATACTAATGCTATGAAAACGAAATATATGTTCTATTGCTACTGGTCAGTAAAGTGTTAATATATATCAATATATATTATATAAATTATACAGGTGGGATTTATTCCATTCCATTTGTGTCTCACTAAAAAACAAAATCCCCAAGCCTCCTTCTAGAAAAACGTCGGTGTAATAGCATCGCCCTGGCGTGTCTTTCGATTATTCTTTCCCCAGAAAATCGACCAGGTTTCGATTATGGGAAAGAACAAAGCTGGAAAATTGATGCGCGCCGAACAAACGCAAATTTCTCTTTTTCTGATCGGTTTGTCCTACATTTGCGAATGCACGCAACTGCAGTCATCCCTCGGTGGCTGCTTCGTTCGCGAACTATTCCGGATATAGTGGCGATATCGCATAATGAAAGACAATGCTGTCCAGACTCGAGACGCAACGTGCTAGACAGTTAATCAATAGTTCCTCTCCTGTTATGTTCGCGTCGAGTTTTCGAGACTGCATCGCTGCACTTCTCGATTCGCTCTGTCTATTTTGCGATCGGTTGGTTTCAATTATTTCAGCCGAACGTTGGAACGGAGCGAAATCGCAGCGTTCGTGGACGGAAACGAAGTTGCGTAAAATAATATACATACCTGACAAACAAAATAATCGGTTGAAAGTTAACTTGGCGAAGCATGCTCTCCAGATAGCTCCCCAGTGCTTCATTGTTGCATGTACGCACAATTTAGTTGCGCTATAATGATTAATTAAAATGATATGCGAATATTTGGTTGCATATTACTTTATTTACGATGCTACTAAGAACGTCAGTATTATTCAAAATTCAATATTAGTATGTGCTAGTCACAATTTCTAGAATTGACTTTCAAGGTAACATAGAAATAAATATATTGTTTCAATAAAATTACGCCAGATAACTATTTAATTTCTGAGCTTTTTTCAATTCTGAAAATCATGAAACATATTAACCGATATAATATTTTATTTTTAATTGAGTTACTTAACGTCAGAACTCTACTATGCCATGGATATAGACGCTCATTAGCGAACAACTCCCAGCGAATTTGTAGTTTGCAAGACTGCAAACAACGTGTCCGGGGATTGCGTTATTAAAGTTCTGCTAATAAGACGACTGGGAATTATTTCTCTGGAATATATTTCAGAACTATATATAGAGTCGTTTTATTCGCGTTCAGCGACGCTCGAAAATCGCAGAAGCCAATTTTAATTATCTCGCTGGCGTCACTTTGACATTTGAAATTCGCCCGAACTGCTACAAAAGCTCGAAACTGTTTCGAGATTTCCTTTCTAGAGGCTAATTATTCCGAACCAGCGGTAAACGAAACTCCGCGACTCGTGCTGCCATCTGCAGCTCGATCCACTGTTTTACCAACGGTGCAGGTCTCAAGGATCCATGGATCCTGGATTCTGTTTGACCATCGTACACCGTGCGCGGGCTGGTAATGTTATTCGAGGACTGTTTACAGAAACCTGAAGCGAAAGAAGCTGTTCGAACAAATAAAAGTAACGTTCATTCTTCTGTTACCAGTAAAGTGATATATTTTTAGGAAAGAAATAGGTATTATAGCATTCAGAAAACTTTATATATATTTTCTTAAGGAAGTTTATCAAAGCAATAACTTATGAATAATTTTAATTGAAAGTTGAAGTTGAAATTCATTTTAATAACTGTTCGATGCATGACATTTGTTTATGAATGATACTGACATTTTCGTTAGCGTCGTACAACATACGAAAATTAAAACAAACACTGAAATTTGATTCCAATAAATCAGGTGAAGCTCCAGTGCAGTAAATCGAGCTGTATTTAATTTCACTTTTTTAATTAAACTCGCAGAAGCACTAGAAATCGATCACACGTGAAACTACGTATTTTTCGATAAATACGAATAGAACTCTGACAGGTTAAATTGATCGAGACGAAGCATAAATAGTCAAAGTTGGATTAATTAAATATCGAATACGACGAGTATCAATTACGAAATAAATTCGATATTCGTTACTGTATATTTACGCTCGTAGAATTCGAGTAAATAAACTAGAATACAGTTTTAGGCGTGTTGCGAATTGAGAAATTGGAGGAGGAAGCTCTCACGAGTCGCAGCCAATTCCAATTCTGTCCGACAGATAACAAATTCCAAACATTTCTCAGAGTCTGGAGATATTTAGGTCCAAGAAGACAAAAATCCAATCGTGTTTATAAAAAGATGCGACGGAACTTTGACTATGAATCATCTCGTTGCAGTCTAAAACTCACGGAAACTCGTTATCGGCTGACAACCCAGCGACGATAAGACGTTCCACGGCCGATCAATGAAACTGTCCAAGCGACTCGATTCTGGCAACGATTTCCACAACTTTGCGTCATAAAATCATTTTATCATTAATAATCATTCATTATTCTATACGTAGAACTCTTTCAAAACGAATGGGAGAAGCTAGAAATAGAATTCCATTTTTTTTTTTTTCAGGAATACTGTCTCAAAAGTATACATATATTTATATTTTTATCTACCAAGCAAATAATTTCACGAATGAAAAGAAAATCCGTAAAATACTTGTCTAAATAAATATTAATTTAATAGTAGTAAATAGAAGATCAACAGTCGACCAAATGTTCACCACGTTTCTCAAATAACGCTTGTTCGAATTACACAATAAAATATAGTTTGCAATCAGTGAAAAAACTAAAAAATAACCTTTGAATCGAGTAGACGTCAAAAAAATATTTTCACGCGAAACGCGCGCCCCTTTGGGAAAACGCTGGGGACGCGTAGAACTTTTATGAATAGAGGCAGGAAAGCGAAGAATTTTCGAAAAATAAACGCCAGAGCAACGTGCAACTGCAGAATCCACCACGGATTTCGCAACACGAGTTGTCGCTATGCCGCGTGTATGCACGCGTGTCTACAGGCTCGGCTAACTTTCTGTTTTTTGTCCGCTTCGGTATTTTTCTAGTATTATCTCGGCTTCTTGGTGAGCAACGTACCAGTATACACTATCCTAGCTTTAATTGCCACCTTCTGGCGATTGTTTTACGGAAATTAATTGCGTTAATAGAATTCTCTGATTTTGAGGATGCCACGATTGAAACAAATATTCTTTGGAAAACATTGGTGACTCACGAGAGGTACTACAATTACATTGTTTCTGGTAACAAAGTGTGGATTAATAATTCAATTAATCAAATATAAATTGACACGAAAAATATGCCATGGGTCACCACTGAGTCATACTGTACAAAACGTATTGTCAGCACTTAGAGTTGACTCTCAGACATTGTGTTATTGTAGCGTCGTTAAATCATGAGAATGAGATCGTTCTCGATCAGTCTCACTCAAGCTTATTTATTTTAGAAAGTTACAAATTTTCCCGTTTGCTTTTTGTCATCCTCAGACCTTTTACTATTGTCATGGGAAATTATATTACAATGAGTGGCAGAATCACGTGCACGTTTAATTATATATCTGGATTTCTAATTATAGTAATAACAATTGCAGCTATCGAAGGTTCCAAAAAAACGAAGGTCCAAACGAACCTTTTTGAAACAATTGCACTGTTAATTATATCAGAGTTCGCTTGACTTTCGCCAGATTAAATCGAGTAAGGCTATTCGAATGTAGCTATTCGTGTTTCACGTACGATTGGCAGTCCCATCGCGATTCGTCTGTATTTTTACAAGTCAATTGTCCGGTGTTTGCATTCTCGTCAGGCCGTCGCGATAAATCTTCAATTCGTTGACTGACGCTGATCTTAAGCTTTTAATAGAAGCACGGGAGAAATGTATGAGAGGGATAGAGAATATTATAGTGGATTTACGGCTTTGCTGGGAGTAATTCGTCCGCTCGATATCTCTTAGATTTAGCTTCCAGTGACGGATTACGCGGAAATCCATTCGAGCTCTCTATTGGACCTGTCCAGCCAGCTGTGTAATTCGGATGATTACCGTGCGCGAATCAAATTCACGTTTTCCAGGAAAAGAACCCTCGATGAATATAATAATCACCGATATCACGCTCTGTTTTGGCTCGATTGTCGCAACGAAACCGCCGCGAATTTTCCAGTAACTCGTTTTCGAATCGCAATTGATCGTAGCACGATGTGTTACGTTAATTTACTTTTCATTTAATCGCTCTATCCCCATTTAGCGTTGAATATACGTGCTCATCGATTTAATGCTTTTTATGAAAATTTACGAAAATTTATATCAAAGCGGACGTTTAACGACGAAAATTAAAAGACCACGTACAGCGTCAGATGAAAATAACTTTGGTGTTTTTCTAGTATTACAATCTTCTTATATGAGAGTTTCAAACATCCATCA